AAGGTGACTTGTTTGATCGGTTACATCGAAAGTTGGATAAACCGGCAAAACAAACCATGAGGAATTGTCATGGAATTTGGACTAATTGCTACGATCAACAAGCAGAAAGGTGTCCTCACGGATATCTTTGTTGTTCTACAAAGCCTGGAGAAGGAATTCCCAAGCGCATCGATCAGTAAGTCATAAATTAATCAATTTACTGGGGATGGACATCACTATTCGATCAAGAAGTTGAAAATGTAATCTGTGGGTCGAAACTCTGGCCCTGTGCAATCCAAATAAACAAAAAACTCCGGTTGCTTGAAGTGATCTGGTAATGCTACTTTGTGGTTGTACTATAGCGATATAGTGCACTGTCGCAACTACGGTCACTCAACAGGGGTTAGTAAAGAGATTCAAAGTTTGACTTCCATTAAACGATCTAACTTGAGCATATTAGCGTTTTCACCGATCACACATGTATTTTAACCTATAGATGTCACACAAGGATTGTTTGGTATATTTTCATTCGTTTCTCTAGAACTGTTCCGCGTTTGTTTCTGTTGGGTTTCAGTAGTTTCACTCTGCGACAATGCACGCACTCTAGAGATGGCCCTGAATGCACCGCGACATGCCAGTCGACGTATTTACTTTCTACCACTAATTGGTTGTTTGATTAATCCACTGGAACAAGTAATCAGTGAATTCAAACAGGCAAAAATTTCATTACTTTAATTTGTTGAATTTTTAAAGCGGCCTTCTATTGAAATAATTCAGTCATAAGAGACGTACCAAATGGTTTATCGACACTAGTGTATCGCTGTCCAATCGATTTGCCGAGCAACATCTAATACCATCAATGAGGACAGCTGCTTGACATACAGACACCACACTTCATCTGTTCACCAAGCTTTGTAACCACAACTTTGATAAAAATAAAATATTTCAACGTTCATTGATTGAAACTAATCATTCTTCAGACTTCAACTTCATGCACATTCCTCAGCTCTTCCAGTTAACCATACATTGGGAAGCACTGCACCTTTTTCAATTTAAGATGTACGAATTATATAGGGCATTACGAAAAGTCACATCAAAACGCAGTTCCCCAATCAACATGTCAAAATGATGGCAGGTGAGAATGGCTTGTTTAGAAATCATTACTGGTGATGCCAAGCTTCAAATCACGAAGGATCATTATCAGCATGCATCTAATCATGCTTGTGTTTATTATCGGACACCTATAAAATGCTTGATTTTAATAGACTTGATGGTAAGTTCATTGTTTCAATCATTGAAAGGTTCCTGCGAGGGAGATAGCAGTCAGAAAGTTCTACCACTGTTGAAGTCAATATGCCGAGTACTTGAGAAATTTTGTAGAATTTTGAGCACAATAATTACAGTAGGATGGTTTTCCATTTTCCATTTTTGGATAATTTCATACAGAACTAGGCTCTCGGTAGGCATCGTTTTCAGGGGCACGTGCTGACTAAAGGCAAATCAAGGCAGGCAGTTCGTGCATTGGTAAAATCAAACGATCATGCGAAACCCGCAGACCAGCTTGGACAGGTTAACATTTTGCATTTTGTTGGGGTGCAAATGGTAAAAACTATCAACCATTGAAATTTATCCCAGTTTAGTCAAAGTAATCACCAAAAGTTGGATTTATTTTCATTTCGGATAAAGAAGCAGTCCTCTTTGACCCTTCGAGGGGAGAAACTAACTGCAGTAGTTACCTCCATCATTTTATGCATGCTATGTATTTCGTCAATTGTGAATTTCAATGTCAGAAATTCGTAAGCAATCGCATTTGATTCAAAGAAATCCGTTTTATTCAAAAGAGACTCGGCCTCATTGGAATTTACTCATTGGGTTATTGAGGGTTCAAACTGACTCCACTCATGCAATGAATCATGCTCACATTCACGTCTGGGCATGATGACCGACTTATCGATCCTTCTTGACGTGATTCGCTTCCTTACCGGACCGACAGAGGTCAATTAACTCCGGATTCGTTCATTCGTATCTGTGACGCATGCTCGATCAACGCTCACGAACATAACGTTCCCGGGTGGAACGGGTGTGTGTGAGGGGGGGG